CATAGTTGGTTTTTGTTATGGTCACGTGTCGCTAATCCAAATGCGTTACGTGGCCTGTGAATTTCCATAGAAATAAAATGCAATCAAGCGACACGAAGCTAAGCAACTACAACGAAAATGAACAAGGTTGTTGTTGCTGTTGTTGTTGCTGCCGCAGTTGTTTTTTCTTATAAACACGGCAAGCAGCGGGAAAAAAACAAACACTTGTAGATTGTTTGTGTGGGCATAGTTCCAAGCGCTGGCTGAGCCAACATGCACATAGATACGACTAAATGTTTCATTGTGTGAGTATGCATGCGATTATCTGAACGTATCTGCATCCGTGTCGTCTGTATGGCTATTACCCTGCTTGTGTGTGTGTCTGTGTGTGTGCTGGCTCAGCTTACATTTATAGTATAGAGGTGTTTACAATTAACCCATAAGCAGTTTGTTGTTTGAAAATGTTGTGAAGCCGCTGCTGAGGGCATGTACAACTTGGAAGCCGTCCCTATGGTATCAATTATCTAAAATATTGCAAAAAAAAAAAAAAAAAAAAAAAAAAAAAAAAAAGATTAATCAATAAGTGAGCTAGCTTGTTTTTTTTTTATATATATGTATATGGTGAAGTGCTCATAAATTATTTTTTAATTAGTTCTAGTCTTTGTTTATTATTGTATACACATATGTATATTTTGATATTTACGATTATAATCTTACTACAACAGTTTAACTAATATGGTTTTCCCACTATACTTGCTCGTTCTACATTCTATTCCAAAATCAAAGCTCTTAAAGATGATAAATAGGTAAAATGAATTAATTGCTCACATATTTTATTTTAAAAGAGCGTTAGAGCAGAGATATTGTAATGGTCTTTTAGCCAAAAGATTACAAATCATGCTAAAGGATCTGAAATATACCAAAATAACAAAAACAAATTTACTTACACTTTGAGCTTTTGTTTCCAATACAAGAATATTTCGTTGAATTTTGTTACTTTTTATTAAGTAAAATTGAAACTTAAATTTAATCTTAGCCATTTTACCATGATTTCAAATTTTCAATGGGTTCAAGTTGCATTTGAGTTTTTCGAGTCTTAATCTAAAATGCATATATACGTTATCAACTCTTCTTTTCTATTCAATTTAAATAGAGTCTGTTCAATAAATTTGACTTGTAAAAAATTCCTCATATTTAGTCCAAATCAGCTGTGATATAGAGTACAAGTCTTGTTGCTTTTCAGTATAGCCATGTAAATTTAATGTTAGAGTAAAAACGAAAAGCTGCTACCGTATAGAATAATACAGGTAAAGTAAATAATAACATGCTATGTAAAATATTGAATTATTGAACTACAGTGAATCACATCCCGTTCGCCCGCAGGGAAACTGATTTGCATATTGGAATATACACAGGTTGGAATATACTGCATTTATATTGACAATATGTACAGATATTGACTATAGACATCATTTGCACAATTTACACTTGAAATTAGCATAGGCTAATCAAATTGCTTAGCCGAGGGGCGGGGCAGCAGCTTTGACGCAGGCCAGGCTCGGGCAGGCCCGGCCAGGCCAGGCCCCGCAAGAGCCGCTCGAAGGAAAGGCCCCGAAACGAAATAAAATGGGTGTGTGTGCTAAACAATTTGCTTCATAAATTTACTACATTCGATTAGCATCACATTTCTGTGGATGATTTGTATGTACACTCAAATTGAATTTGAAATATATAACACAAAGTCGTGCACGCTTTTGGATTCTATAAATGAACGGAGATAACGAATAGCAAATAAAACACGAATACATAAATAAAAGCAAAACTCACATTGTCTTATCGCTTTGCCAAACTTTTAATTTCAAAGTCGAGGTAAATCTAATTAAAATGTACATACATATATGCGTATGAACATAGTACACAGATATTGGTAAACTGATAAGAGTAAAAGCAAAATACATATACATATATAAACGTGTGTATATTTATAGTGTGTGATTGTATGTATGTAGTCATGGCTATACCTATTGCATAAAACTGCGAGCCATGATGAAGCTGTAATGAAACGAAAGCTCAATTTCATACTCACTTATGGGTTGTATTCGAGTTCTGGGAAAACATTAGTGCTTTCTGTGGAAGCTTATTAAATAATACCGTTTACGGTCGAAAATGTTGACTAAGCAAAGTTTGTGTTTTAAAGTTTATATATTGAAGAGAAATTGGGGTTAATTGTAATTCTTTGGGAACTTTTTTCTATGTATATTTCAACTTTTTTGACCGAATCTTATTTTCGAACTCGAATTCCAATTAATTAAAATTTTATAAATTTTCAATGTATTGTCTTTGAATAAGAAACAAAACTTTTATTTTATATATACTTTATTTTTATATAATTATACACA